GCAATTCACACAGCACATTCATACCACTCTTCGTCGCATCCTGGCGGGATTAATTCCACAACTCAATACCATTCCTCTGTGTGGAGACGTATAAACAGTGATAGAACATATGTTATCACTTGAGCTGTCGCAGGATAGGTTTCTGCTTCTCGCCGACCTTCGGCCTGCTGCCGGGTTTCGAGTTCTTCACTCTGTTCACTTCCTTTTTCTTCTGAGCCTCATCCATAATGTTCATCTTGTCTTGTCGGAGCTTAATGGCCTTCGGGAGATGCTTGTGACTAGACAAGGAAAGGTACCGGGTTCGATCCCTGGTAGCGGCATAATCTTACTTTGCAATTCGTCTTATCTCTGGCATGTGCTTGTATTTCGCAACTAGCTTCTTGCGATATGCTTGAGCCTTCTTCTCCCGCTTGCTCACAACGCCCAACTTGTCCGAAGCCTATTATGCTGATATACCACCCAGGTTCGATCCCCGGTACTACCTCATTTTTCCACACTCGAATATTGCAGTCTTCCGAGCCACTAAACACGAATCGGCCATCGCCACTGTATTGACAGCAAAGTACTCTCTGCATTCGTTTCGTATGATACACCTGATCATGGATGCAAGTGAAATTCAGCTGGCAAGGGAAACTGATTCCAAATCTGTAGAGGATACATTTTCACACTCAAGAAAAGTACACTACTGTACTACAGTGCAGAGTGCACAAGTATGGACTCTTAGCTCAGTCGACTACGGTAGAATCTATGAATTCCATCAACCCTTGCCTCGAGTTCCCTATTAGTAATTACCTCTCTCGAGCGTTGAGTCTCATAGTTGAAGATTCTGATAGTCTTATCGTAGCCGGCAGAGACCAGTTCTTCACCAGTCGGACTATAGTCCAGGTCGAGAACTGCACGCACATGCCCCTTATGAATGAAAACCGCAGAATCCAGTTTTCTGATGGGATCAGGTTGTTGATCACTATACGGCTTTTCGTTACTACCTCATATCGAAAGTGTATAAATTGCCGTCCTCATTGGCTACACTGAAGCGTAAAGGTTGACGAGGATTCCAGCAGAAGGCGTTGCTCCGGTTACGAAGAACCACCTATGAAAAAGAACAAGCCCTTCTCAAGAAAGCACATGTGAAGAGTGGGAATATTCCGGCCATTTCACGAATTCATAATCTTCCGCGAGATCCCGACCAGTAACCCAAAATAATAATATAGGACTACCACAGACATTTTTCTATACTCGTACGCCCTAGTGGGGGGATAGTTCAGCATTGGAGAAAAATATGTTCGCTTTCCTCAGCTGAGATCAGGAGTTTCCTCACTAATTATATATAATTTCGCCTGTAGATTCAACAGAAACCAATGAGAATTTCCCAGCAATTTCCTGTGGTTGACACATGTGGTTGACCATATGCACATTTCCCACACTGGTGATAATTACTAACTGGAAGAGCCCACTGGCTACTGAGTACGCGAAGGTGAGACTATTTGAGAAGAGCTCCTTAGGATCTATGAAGAGCAGTGCATCCTGGGTCTATGCTCGTTGATAACCAATGACCATAGACCAAGCATAGACCGTCTTTCACGATGAGTATTTCATCTGTAATGCCCTCAACGAGCGCGGCTGGGCGATGTTAATACCTTCCTCAAGCCACTCTGCATACGGACGTCAAACAGGCCGATAGAGTTGTCCATGGCAGTTGTTCCAAGGAGGCACTCCTCACATGGGTTAAACTTGACGCTAAGAGTTGCCTCAGTACCCCACTCGTAGGTGGACAAGGGAGTTGTCCTGGCGAATTGAAGATAACGCTTCGAGCATGCCGATACCACTACCGGTTGTAATCCCAGATATCCACTGTCTCCCCTGCAGTGGCTAGCATAGAGCTCTTACCCCAATGGGCGTCAATCGACGACAGCATAGATGACTGGAAAATGAGGAAGAGTCAATGAGGTTACAAGGGCTGATGATTATGGTATTACCGAAGTGAGTACATGTAGAGGAGCAACCTTGTCGTTGTGAAGGGAAGCTGACGAACCCGATTGCAGGGCCCCGACAGTGCTGAACTTCTCATCTAGCATCTCTCCTACGGCCTCATCCGGGTCGAATCTGAAGTAGAGCGCTGCGTTACGGTATGTTGCTAATTCTCCCAATACTACTTCCACAGTTTAATCGTCTTGTCCTCACCAGCGCTGACGACTAGGGAATCATCACTGGTTGTACACAGGCCGCGGACGAAGCCTTCGTGAGCTCGGACTGCCTTGAAGCACCTCCGTTGGCCGACGTTCCAGAAGCGAATCTAAGGAAGGGATTCAATATGAGAGCCTCTTGGGGAGTTTGGAATACCTCGCCATCACAACTGCCAGTGAATAACGGTGCTATCACAGTCCTGCATCTGGTCATGCATTTAACAGCATCAGTGTGGCCCTCCAAGGCACAGAGGAACGGCTTG